CACGTAAAGTATACGCAATGGGTCAAGAGGTGATTGACCCTTTGGCGGGCATCGAAGGTACGCCCTTTCATATCGGTGCACCGCCAGTGTTGAATAGACCCTGACGACACATATTCTTGTAACCCTGCAATTTCGGTTCACGAATAAAGGTATCAATTTCGAGGACGAAATTGTTCTAAGTGGAGGAGGTTGTGACGCCCTGAAAGAATGAGTGCGAGAACCCGAAAATTTTCTAAGTTTCTAGGGTTTATTTTATTGATCGCCCGTATTTTTCGACATTTTCTTTATTAGAAAATTCCCCAGATAATTTTATCGAATAAATATAGTTTTTAGATGATTTTTCTAGTATCAGTTAGTTTTTGAGAAATTAAGAACACATATCGGATGTGGGGCCCACTAATGAGGAAAGTTCAGTAAAATTCGGCCAGTTAGGTTAAGTTTTGGATACTGGGTTTAATTTACCGGGTGTTATAAGATAATTAGAGGTTACCAAGTGGATTGGTGTGAGAGGAACAAAGAGATAGCTATGCATTTAATGAAAGTGACAAGTGTCACTTAGAGATTAAGTCTTGATTCTTGACCACTATTCATCCTTTTACTATTTAAATAAAAAATTGACCAAAATTCACCCTTATTTTCAAGCTTCTTGGCCGGCCCTTGCTCAAGAAAAAAGAAGAAAAACTACTCAATTTTCTTACCTTCAATCTTGCTCAATCTTTCATTCCAACCGGTTAATTTTCAAATTACTCCATAAAACCTATTAGTTTAGGGGTATTTAGGTGATTGGTGATGTTATTTGGAAGCTTAAGGTGCTAAGTGGTCTCTTTTCTTTGGTTACTAAGGTGAGTGACTATGGAACCCCTCTCTTCTATCTAATGATGTTTAATTAATGACTTGTGGTGGTTATAAGTGTGATTTGGTGGATTATTTCTTGATTTTAGTTAAGATTAGTGAATTTTTCTATTTATGTGGGATTTTTCTGTTTTCATATGATTAATATTATGTGGCCATGTATGATGGTTGGAAATGGTTTAGAATGAAACCTTAGTGTTAAGATAGCGGCTATTTGCGGAAAATTTCCGCATTGAACGGAAAATTTCGGAATTAGGGTTTCGATTACCCCCTTTCTGCCCGGCCCTGTTCGTCATAGTTAGAGACCGAATTAGCCTTGGGTTAAAACATAAAAGTTGTAGGGAATGATATTTTAGAAATTCCTGCAAAATTTCAGCTTAATCGAAGCAACGTAGCCGGTGAAAAGACCGAAATACCCTGCTGCCCTATTTCTATCCGAACTTGATAATTGCTTCTGTAATTGGTTAATTTGGTTAGGAATACTTCTGATTTGGTTGTTGACGTCTTCTTAAGAAATGTAGCCTGGTGTCTTAGCTTTCGGATGGCTTTGGAATCACTTGATTTGGACTTAGGTAGCCTGAATTACGGTTCGTTAACCAGAATGCAGTTTGTTAACCTGTTTTTGCGGTTCTGGTTTGGTACGTTGACATGTTGACCTAGTTGCATCACAAACTGGACTGAGTGGCCTTCTTCAATATTGTAGACCTTTCTGTTAGCTTCGAAACGGTATAAAGTTTATCCAAATTCGAGTCCCGTAGCTCCAGTTATGACCAAAACAAGATCGGTTGTCAGAACTGCCTTCGAATTTGGACAGTTCTGACAGGAATGTTTGGACCCATTCTCCTCCATGCTCTGTATTGATTCAGCTTTTGGTCCAAACATGAAAGTTATAGCCTTATGTCCTAGATTTCCAACGCCTTTGGAATTTTTTTATTTGGATTTGTGAGCTGTGAGTTATGGTCCAGCAAACAAACCCTGTTCGTCACCCTAAGAAGTAAATTTCTAGTACTGTTTTCCATAATTTCGACCTGCTTCCATTCAGATCTAGTGATAGGTTACCTTTTAGTGGGTATTTTGGGCATTATTGCACAATTAATTGACTAAATATTTTCGTTAATTGGGTGAATTCTACTGATATTTTGTTTTGGTGCTAATTGCAGGAATGGTTGCTGAAAAGTGCTTAAATTCAACTTTTAGAAGATTCATCGGACGTGGGGCCCGTTTGAGAAGCTGAAGAAACCTAATTGTAATAGATTTTATTTTAATATATTTCTAGGGAGTCTGGCTGCAATTTGAAACAAGTAACAATTTTTCGGCTATTGTGGGGGATTGTATTTATCTCTCGCGCGGCTTAGGTTAAGGGGGCTTGTCTTTGTTTTTGGAGAAAAGGAGAGGCAGAGGAGGGAGCCGCAGCTTTGTAGAGAGAAAGGCAACAGGCAATAGCCATTTTTGTTGACTTTTGGGGATGCTTGTGAGATTTGATTAGCCTTGACCCATGAAATCAAGCACTTGAAACAAAATCTCTCGTATGTCTCCTTTGTGAGGAAGGAAAGAAAAAGCAACGTGCAGCCGCCATTGTGGACTTTGTGGGTTTTCCTCTTTACTCAATTTTGACAAAAAATTGGGAGACTATCCGACGCATGCTTTAGAGGAAAATTGGCAGTAATAAGAAATTTCCTGGTGTATCCTCTCGGTGTCGACCGAAGCAGGGGAAAAATAGATTTGAAAACTTTCACAACCTCCACACGCGCGGCCTGTCATCAAATCATGGGGAACTAAACCCCTAATTCTAGACAAGGGGGCAACTGATGAATTGGTTCAACTAATACTGTGAGATCTAAACCATTATTAATTGTTCTCTTCATTTATTGATATTTATATATTCCTTGCTTTTAATCGCTATAGCCTTGTGTATGATTGGTTAGTGCGCAGTAATTGATTATTCACATAGGCTATTCTGCTATATAGGGGTAATTGAATCCGTAATTGTTCGTTATCTCTATCCCAGTAGCAACTGGCATAATTGGATTTGTGCCAGGGGAATATTTAATCTAGCTTAAGCAAACCCTCGTAGCGTGTTTGTTAGCTAGGATTGGGCCTTTCTAATTAATAATGCAACCTAAAAATTAAATCCTACGGTCGTACCTAGGGTTGTTTTCGGGTTAGAGAAATAGCTAACGGTCGTACCTTAGCTATCGATAAATTAAGGAAGGGTTGGTTGTTTATGGCATGTATGGCAACTATAACCAATCTATTAATAAATGTTGGGATTATTTCTGCATCAATGATCAGTGCTTGAAGCATTTCTGAAGTGTACCCTTGGCTAGAGTTTCTCTTAGTTATTTCTTTCAATTAATTAATTTCTGCATTTAATTCGTTTAGTTGGCATTTGATACCAAAACCCCCATTAATCTTGATTTGAAAAGAAGCAAAATATCTTGCTAGTCCCTGAGGAGATGACCCTACTTACCACTGCCTACTAGTTAGGGAATTCAGTTAAATAATTAATTCAGGTATATCGGATTAAGCAAACTCTTCGGGAACATGGTGAATCAAGTAACCCATTGCACACCTAGAGTCCCTGCTCCAGTACTCGAATTGATTACTGACTGTTTCAGGTGGTAGTTAGGATTTATTTATTATTATTGCACAGGTTCGGCACCTGTCAATTTTTGGCGCCGTTGCCGGGGACTGGTGTTTGAATTATCTGCTTCTTTTTTAATTCAGTTTTTATTTTGTTTTATTTTATTTTTCTTTTTCTTGATATTTTTGCTAGTTTATGCCCAGTTCTTCTCGCACAGGTGACTTGGTATACGATCCTGAATTTGAGAAGGTAGCGCGTAGGCGAAGGCAAGAGACGAAGAGACGAAAAGAAGGGCACTTATTTTCTGCAAACGAGTCAGTAGAAAACGAATTTAGCATGGCCAACACCCAGACATTAAGGGAGCTGGCTACCCCAGACCTGACTCATCAGCTCTTGTGCATCACGTTCCCAACTCTGGTTGAAAATACCTCTTTCGAGCTGAAATCGGGGTTGATTCAGCTCCTGTCTTCGTTCCATGGTCTTTCTGGTGAAGAACCCCACAAACATGTCAAGGAATTCGAAATAGTTTGCTCTAGCATGAAACCTCTTGGGATCACTGAGAAGCAAATAAGACTGAGAGCCTTTCCTTTCTCTCTCAAGGATGCAACGAAGGATTGGCTATACTACCTACCTGCAGGTAGTATCACCACGTGGGCACAATTGAAGAAGAAATTCCTGGAGATATTTTTCCCCGCATCCCGGGCTGCAAGTTTGCGGAAAGAGATTTGCAGCATCAAGCAGTACTCCGGGGAGTCATTGTACGATTTTTGGGAAAGGTTCAACAAGTTGTGCGCTAGATGCCCACAACATTAGATTAGTGAACAACTGTTGATCCAGTACTTCTATGAGGGACTCCAGTCAACTGACAGGAGTATTATTGACGCTCCGAGTGGAGGAGCCCTGGCGAACAAGACACCGAGGGAAGCGTGGGACCTTATTGAAGCCATGGCAGAAAACTCTCAGCAGTTCGATTTCCGTGAGAGCAATCCTACCCGTAGAGTCAATGAGGCAGAGACGTCATCCATCCAACAGCAACTGTCTGAGTTGACATCTGCTGTCAGGCAATTGGCCATGAGAGACACACCGCGAGCAAAGGTGTGTGGAATCTGTACTAGCATGGACCACTGCACGGATTCGTGCCCCATTCTGCAAGAGAACGGGGCGGAACAGGTAAATATGGCCGGAGGCGTGCCCGCGCCCCGCAGGCAGTATAACCCGTATTCCAACACATACAACCCCGGTTGGAGAGACCATCCCAATCTCAGTTATGGGAACAGGCAACAAGGTTCATTCCCGAATCGTCCACCAGGATTCCACCAGCCTTGGCAACCAAAATCTCAACCCTCATCCTCCAATACAGGAAGCTCCTTGGAGGACCTAGTCAAGAACCTGGCCACGACTACTACCAACCTGGCCACGACTACTACACAGCTTCAATAGGAGATCAGATCCTTGGCCGCGAATACCGCACAGCTCCAGCAGGACACCAAAGCTGACAAGAAGGACCAAGATGTTCGAATAAGTCAACTGGCAACTGCCATCAACCGCTTGGAGTCTCACGTTTATGGGAAACTGCCATCGCAACCCGAGGTAAATCCCAAGAATGTAAGTGCCATGACGCTAAGGAGTGGCAAGGAACTGGAAGGGCCTACAGTGAAAAATTCAAAAAGCAAAAGTGAGGAGGAGATAGAAAAGAAAATTGAAGAGGAAAAACGTATCCGAGAAGATCCTAAGGTAACATTCACTTCTCCACCCACTACTACATCTAACTTACCTCCTTTCCCTTCCAGGTTGGCGAAGACAAGAAAAGTAGAAAAGGAAAAGGAACTTTTGGATGTATTCAGGAAAGTAGAGATTAACATCCCCCTACTGGATGCAATCAAGCAGATACCAAAATATGCCAAATTTTTGAAGGACTTGTGCACCCACAAAAGGAAGCTAAGGGGAGATGAACGAGTGGCGGTGGGAGAAAATGTGTCAGCCATGCTCCAAAGGAAACTCCAACCAAAATGTGGAGACCCAGGTATGTTCACCATTCCCTGCAAGATAGGAGGTGTCTCGATTAGGAAGGCAATGTTGGATTTAGGGGCGTCAATCAATGTAATGCCTAAAACAATTTATACGTCCCTTAATCTTGGTCCATTAAAAGGCACAGGCATTATAATCCAACTTGCAGACCGCATCAATGCTTACCCAGAAGGGTTAGTTGAAGATGTTTTGGTGCAGGTCAATGAGTTAGTTTTTCCTGCAGTTTTCTATGTCCTAGACATGGGGGATGAAAGGGCACTAAATCCGTCTCCTATTTTGTTAGGTAGACCATTTTTAAGCACTGCTAGGACCAAAATAGATGTAAATGAGGGTACTTTGTCGATGGAGTTCGATGAGAAAATTGTAAATTTTAATATTTTTGATGCGATGAAGTACCCAAATGAGTCTAACTCTGTTTATGCTTTAAGTGTTGTTGAGCCCCTTGTGCAGGAAATATTTGAATTGGAGGGGGTTGATGCACTAGCAGTGGCATTAGCCAAACATCTTGAGTTGGGAGCAACTCCTGATGTGGGACTGAGCGATGAGTTATATTGTGCAGTTGGAGCACTGCATTCGCTTCCACCAATCTCCCCGAGGTATGAGCTTACGTCTGTTTTCGTACCAGAAACTCAGACGAAATTGTTGCCTTCAATTATGCAGGCACCTGAGTTGGAGCTCAAGCCTCTTCCGAAATACCTGAAGTATGCATTTCTCGGAGATAATGAGACGTTACCAGTCATCATATCTGCACACTTATCACCAAGGCAAGAAGACAACCTGATTCGCCTTCTTCGAGATCATAAGGAGGCGATTGGGTGGAGTGTAGCAGATATCAAAAGAATTAGCCCCTCCTTATGCATGCATCGGATCCGGCTTAAGGATGATGCAAAGCCAGTTAGACAAGGGCAACGGAGATTGAACCCACTAATGATGGAAGTGGTCAAGAAGGAGATACTTAAACTCCTAGAGGTGGGGATCATCTTCGCCATCTCAGATAGTCCTTGGGTGAGCCCCGTGCAAATAGTTCCGAAAAAGGCGGGAGTAACTGTTGAGGAGAACCAAGAGGGTGAGATGGTCCCGGTGAGAAAACCTACAGGATGGCGCTAGTGCATTGATTACCGGCGTCTGAATGCTGTGACAAAGAAGGACCACTTCCCTCTACCTTTTATTGATCAGATGATAGAAAGGTTAGCTGGCCGTGTCTATTACTGTTTTCTTGATGGTTTCTCTGGTTATTTTCAGATAGCGATAGCACCAGAGGATCAGGAGAAAACTACCTTCACCTGCCCCTTCGGTACATTTGCATATCGGAGGATGCCTTTCGGCCTCTGCAATGCCCCAACAACTTTTTAGAGGTGTATGGTGAGTATATTTTCTGAGTATGTAGAAAAGATTATTGAGGTGTTTATGGACGATTTTAGTGTGTATGGGGATAGTTTTGATGAATGCCTGGATAATCTAGCTTTAATTTTGAAGAGATGCATTGAAGCAAATTTAGTTCTAAATTGGGAAAAATGTCATTTCATGGTGGATCATGGTATTGTTTTAGGGCATGTAGTGTCGGCCAGGGGTATAGAAGTAGATAAAGCAAAGGTCGATATTATTTCTGCTTTGCCTTACCCTGTAAGTGTACGGGAGGTGCGTTCCTTTTTGGGTCATGCAGGTTTCTACAGGAGATTCATAAAAGATTTCTCAAAAATTGGAGCACCCCTGTTCAAACTATTGCAGAAGGACGTGGCATTTGACTTCACCGAAGAGTGCAAGGTGGCATTTGACAGATTGAGGGAGTCACTGACATCACCGCCTGTTATCCAACCTCCAGACTGGAGCCCCCCATTTGAGATAATGTGTGACGCCAGTGACTATGCAGTGGGAGCGGTGCTGGGGCAACGGATTGGTAGAGCTGCAAACATGCAATCTACTATGCATCGAAGGCGTTAAATGGAGCTCAACTCAACTACTCTACAACAAAAAAGAATTGCTAGCTGTGGTTTTTGCATTAGAAAAATTTAGACCTTATTTGTTAGGTGCCAAAATAACAGTTTTCTCTGATCATGCAGCCTTGAGATACTTGATGACGAAGAAGGATGCTAAACCAAGGCTCATCAGATGGATCCTACTCCTTCAGGAGTTCAACTTGGAGATTAAGGATAAAAGTGGGGCAGAAAATTTAGTTGCTGATCACTTGAGCCGCCTACTTGCTCATAAGGAGGAGCCACCATTGAGGGAGGCATTTCCAGAGGAACAACTACTTGCTGTGAACGCGTCTGTACCCTGGTATGCCGATTTAGTAAATTTCTTAGTGACGAATCAATTGCCTGCAGGGTGGCCGAAGGCTAAGAGAGATAAGTTGAAGAGTGATGCCAAATATTACATTTGGGACGACCCATACCTTTGGAGACAATGTTCGGATCAAGTGCTCAGGAGGTGTGTAAGTGTAGGTGAATTTCACTCCATTTTAAATTTCTGTCATTCGTTTGCATGTGGAGGGCATTTTGGGCCCAAGCGAACAGCTCGCAAAGTGTTGGAGAGTGGCTTTGACTGGCCTACCCTGTTCAAAGATGCTTATTTGTTCTGTAAATCCTGTGATAGGTGTCAAAGGGTGGGGAATATTTTTCGTAGGAACCAAATGTTTCAAACCCCCATGTTGTTTGTTGAAATTTTTGATGTTTGAGGGTTAGATTTTATGGGTCCTTTTCCCTCATCTTTTGGTTTCCTATACATTTTACTTGCTGTAGATTATGTTTCTAAATGGGTGGAAGCAAAAGCCACCCGTACTAATGATTCTAAAGTGGTTGCAGAGTTCTTAAAATCTAATATCTTTGTCCGCTTTGGAATGCCAAGAGCGGTGGTAAGTGATAGGGGGACACATTTCTGTAACAAGACTATCACTGCCTTGTTTCAAAAATACGGTGTACTCCATAAAATATCCACACCGTATCACCCACAGGCAAACGGTCAGGCCGAAGTGTCAAACAGGGAAATCAAGTCGATCTTGGAGAAGATGGTGCGTCCGGATAGGAAGGATTGAAGTTTAAAACTAGAAGACGCACTATGGGCGTACAGAACCGCGTATAAGACGCCGATTGAGATGTCCCCGTATAGACTTGTTTTCGGTGAGGCTTGCCATCTCCCCGTGGAGTTCGAACACAAGGCGTTTTGGGCAGTGAAGCAGTGTAACATGGGATTTGACGAAGCAGGGGTCCAAAGGAAATTGCAACTACAAGAGTTAGATGAGATAAGAAATGAAGCGTATGAGAATGCCACGATCTATAAGGAAAAGAGTAAAATCTTTCATGATCAACAGGTTTCCAGAAAATCTTTTGTAGTGGAGACAAAAGTCCTCTTGTATCACTCGAGACTTAAACTTTTTCCCGGTAAGTTGCGTTCTCGTTGGATTGGTCCATTTGTCGTTTCTAATGTGTTTCATTATGGTGCAGTGGAGATCCAAAGTTTAAAAACGGAGAAAAAGTTCGTGGTGAATGGCCATCGTCTCAAACCTTATTATGAGGGATTCTCTGTTGAAGAAGTGGAAGTTAAACACCTCCAAGATCCACCTTATCATGCTTGAGGGTCCTGGCCATGTCTAGCCAAAGACGTTAAAGAAAGGCGCTACTTGGGAGGCAACCCAAGACTATTTGTTTCAGTTTTCATGCATTTTTGAAGTTTTAGTTAAGTATTAGTGTCAATTGATGGTTTGATGTTTGGTGGCAGGAGATCAGTGGTTAGGCGTGCCTACGCCTGAGGAAAAAGAATTTTTCGCTCAGGTTCTGCGAACTCCACAGCAGTTAGACGTGCCCACGCCAAATGGTCACGCCTGACGGAAAAAATTTTCGTTCAAGATCTGCAGACTCTATGGCAGTTAGGCGTGCCTACGCCAGGTGGTCACGCCTGACAGAACTCAATTTCTGAGAATTGTTCTGCGGACTTTATGGTAGTTAGGCGTGCCCACGCCAGGTGGTCACGCCGGAAGGAAAGAAACTTTCGTTCAAGATCTGCGGACTCTATAGCAGTTAGGCGTGCCCACGCCTAAGCCAGAGGTTTCTTTAAATAAAAAAAAACAAAAGGAGTAAAAGACCAATTTGCCCTTGGAAGAAAACAAAAGAAGAAAGGAAAATTTTCAAAGACCCGGAGCCGTAATCTTTTTCTCCTTCTCCTTTCTTTTCTTTTTCTTTCTTCTTCTTCTTTCTTTTCTTTCTTCTTCTTCCCTACTCCCTTGGCCGCCGCTTCTCACTTGCTGTCCGCCACTTCCTTTCTCCCCCTCTGAGATCAGCCCACGCCTGCCGCCGTCACTACCAGCCCGCGTCCGCCACTGACCAGCCGCACTCCGCCAGCTCGCCGCCCATCTTCCCCTTCGCTGCCCAGTCCGCTGCTGCCTCTCCCTCCTGAGCGTCCGCACCTTGCTCAGCAGCAGCCCAACTTGAGGCGTCCAGCAGCCGCCGCGCGCAGCAAGCGGCCAAAGCAACAGACGCGCAACCCCCTTTGCTCGCCAGCTCCAGCTCTCGCGTTATCTTGTAGCAGCAAGCGCAAGCCGTCAGATCGCTGCCACGGCCATCGCGCACCAAGCCCGCTAGGCAGAGCCAGCCGCAGCGAGCCCAGCGCGCATCCCCAGCGGCAGTCCTGCCCAGGCGCGCGCGAATCAGCAAGCACCAGTGCGCGACGTCTCCCCCTCTCTGCGCAGCTTCACCAGCCACCAGCTGCCTTCGCACGGCCTACAACGCCCCACCCATAGCAACTGCCGGTTATCCCCCATGGTGATTTCTTTCTTTAATTTTCTGTCACTAAATAGCTGAGGCCAGATTTTATTTTCTTAGCTGAGGCCAGATTCTTTTTGGTTGCTAGCTGAGGATAGATATTTTGTGCTCGATTTTGGGTGCTGTGCTATATCCGTGGGTGATTGCTAACTAATTGTCAAATTTTGTGCTCACTCAGTGATAGTTGGGGTGAATTTTTACCCTGGTTGCCTGCTTTATTAGTTTTTGGGGGAATTTTGCTGCGATTGTCTAATTAAGTGAATTTTGGGTTGATTTAGTAGTGTTTGGACAGTATTTTTGCTTCTTCACAGGATTAATTGACTCTTGGAGTAATTTTATTGTTTGGTTGTGCACTTGTCTGTGACTGGAGGCTGTGATTAGGACCCTTTTACTGAATCAGCTGCCTGTTGACCTCCTTTGTGCACATTTGCCTTGCCTCTGCCCTATCCAATAGACCAAATGACCAAATCAAAAACTAAAGGCAAGAACAAGCCTTCCACTTCCACTTCCACCCCTCAGCCTACGGTCCCCTTAGAGGGACCTGCCCCATCGATTGGGCCTGGAGGGCCCCGTACCCGCCTTGGACGGAATAGGGAGGTTCATATCTCCTCTCCGGCCTATTTTGGCGGTAATTTGACCTTCACCCGGGCTGCCGACAAGGAGCGGTATGCCTCGGCTTGCACAAGGAAGATAGTTCCTTGTAAATACATCCATGGCCCTACACTTGATATGCTAAACCTGAGGGATGAGGTCGCGCAGCACTTGACTAACGTAGGTTGGACCCGCTATGCTTCTATCAATCTACCTGCTTTTACTGAACTCACATGGGAATTCTATGCTACCTTTGAATTTAATATTCATGATGAATTCTCCGTTACCACTCCTGGGGTAGTGAAGTTTCGATTACTTGGTAGAGAGTTCACCCAATCTATAACTGAATTTAATTTGGCTCTTGGATTTATTGATATTCCTTACTTCCAGAGTGAGGAATATATGCACAGTGCGTGCGAGTACACGGAGCCATTTTTCTCTCATTACCTTGATTATTGGAGCGATTTGTCAGTTGACCGACAATGCTATGACCCCAGTCAGTCTAAGGCTTCTTATCTTAAGAGCGCCGCCTACCGTTATTTACATAGATTCATGGCCTATAGTTTCTCAGGTAGGAAGGATAGCTCGGGTACTCTGACCAAGCCCGAGTTCTTTTTCGTTTGGTGCATGGTCACTCGGACTAGGGTCAATTTGGGTAGCTGGTTTGCCCTCCACCTCCGAACTGTGTTAAGTAAGAAAAATAAGCCATTAATCTTAGGCTCATTTATCACTCAGTTGGCTGTAAATCTTGGGGTTTTGGACTTAAATAATCATAACTTGCATCGTGCTTGTACTATGGAACCCCTCGATTTGGTTTGTTTGGAAAAAATGGGTCTTGTGAGACAGGTGGCGGGCGTTTTTCAGTTTGCTCCCCCGGGGCCAATCTCCGTTCCTCCGAAGCGCAAAGCTTCCAAATCCACTGCCCCGGAGGCTGGTGGTCCGTCCACAGATGCCCTCGGACCATCCTCTTCGGCACCTCCACCATCCTCCTCTGTCGATAGCCAGCTAGCGGCCCTCCGGTTCCAGATGCAGCACATGGACACTCGTATGGATCGGATGGAGCGGCAAATGGGCGGGGTGGCTCAGAATTTAGCACAGTATCTCCATCACGTGGGCTTCCGCCCGCCTTTTCCTCCACAATCGTGATTCATTTCTGCCCTCCTCCGTTTTAAGGGAAGTGTCGTTGCCCCGATACCTCTGATTTGGTCTTACTTTGTTTACATTGAGGGCAATATAAGATTTAGGTGTGGGGGAGGGTTAACTATGCTTTGGTTGTGTTTTTAGTTGTCTAAACTGTGATGAATGCAATTGAGATATGAGTGTACGTAGCAAGTTCATGCCATGGGGTGTTCTATTTTCCTCGATGACGAATTGATTGATGAATGTGCTGAACTTGACATAAATTTGACCACTCATGCGATTTTTGAGCCTAATTTTTCGTTTTTTGAGTGGGTAGCGCACATGGTTTGTCATTCTAGAACTTGCTTGGTTATGCATGTCAAGACCACATTTAAATGAGTTTAATGCATTGAAATGATAGGGCACCTATTTTTGGACTTTCTCAAAACCAGCCCTTGGATTATTTATTGCCATTAGGGAGTCAAGTTGAGCCTTAACCCCTATTCTTTGTTTGAGACCCCAGCTCTTAGCCGTGAAACCTCTTTAGACTTTCTTTTTGAACCTCGTGTGAAGAAGTGCTTTGATTTCATTATACAGACTTTTGGAGTACTATTCGAGGGGCATTACACCCATTTATGTATCGGAAAAAAAGAGAGAAAGAAAAAAAAAAGGAAAAAAAAGAAAGGGAAATGTGAAAAGAAGACAAAGTGCAGGAAATCAACAAGTAAAATTGATTCCTATGGTGCTGGTTGGGAGTTATTGGCAAAAAACAAAAAAAAAAAAAGAGACAAAAGGGAAGTAGATGAATGAAAGGAGGAGAAAAGAAAAGTCGAAGGTTGCGGCAAGTGCTAATTTGCTTCATTGGTGTAATGGTTGAGATGCCTTGAAGTTCCCAATGTGCAAGAATCTGTGTAATGAATTTCTGAGCACTTCCTTATACTTTTACACCCTCTTGACTCCTTTTTATCCTACCTTCTCACCCTAGCCCCATTACAACCTTGCAAGTCCCTTGATTGCTGCATTTAAATTCATGAGTAAGTGGTGGAGATAAGATATATGAGCAAGCTTATGGTAGTGTCATTCTATTGTGTTGTTTTGAGAGCCATCTTATATACATTTCATATACACTTTGGAGCGAATGAGTGCACTTTAAATTGCGAGAATTGTTGATTTGGTATATTCTGATTTCGATAAGGTTATTTGGGGATCTTGGAATGCCATTCTTGGTATGAACTGCTGTGATTTGCTTAGCATCTTGATTGTACTTCTGAGTTAATTATGCTTGAGGGCAAGCATAGTTCAGGTGTGGGGGAGATTGATAGGTTACCTTTTAGTGGGTATTTTGGGCATTATTGCACAATTAATTGACTAAATATTTTCGTTAATTGGGTGAATTCTACTGATATTTTGTTTTGGTGCTAATTGCAGGAATGGTTGCTGAAAAGTGCTTAAATTCAACTTTTAGAAGATTCATCGGACGTGGGGCCCGTTTGAGAAGTTGAAGAAACCTAATTGTAATAGATTTTATTTTAATATATTTCTAGGGAGTCTGGCTGCAATTTGAAACAAGTAACAATTTTTCGGCTATTGTGGGGGATTGTATTTATCTCTCGCGCGGCTTAGGTTAAGGGGGCTTGTCTTTGTTTTTGGAGAAAAGGAGAGGCAGAGGAGGGAGCCGCAGCTTTGTAGAGAGAAAGGCAACAGGCAATAGCCATTTTTGTTGACTTTTGGGGATGCTTGTGAGATTTGATTAGCCTTGACCCATGAAATCAAGCACTTGAAACAAAATCTCTCGTATGTCTCCTTTGTGAGGAAGGAAAGAAAAAGCAACGTGCAGCCGCCATTGTGGACTTTGTGGGTTTTCCTCTTTACTCAATTTTGACAAAAAATTGGGAGACTATCCGACGCATGCTTTAGAGGAAAATTGGCAGTAATAAGAAATTTCCTGGTGTATCCTCTCGGTGTCGACCGAAGCAGGGGAAAAATAGATTTGAAAACTTTCACAACCTCCACACGCGCGGCCTGTCATCAAATCATGGGGAACTAAACCCCTAATTCTAGACAAGGGGGCAACTGATGAATTGGTTCAACTAATACTGTGAGATCT